CTTGCGCCTTTCATGACCGAATACTACGCAGGACTTTGACAAGTTTGAGATGATTCTGCAGGCCGACGAGTACGAAAGCGGTGCGAGCGTATTGAAACCTGCACAGGATCTCATGCGCTGGTGCTGCGATAGTGCAAGACGTCGATCTCCAGGACTTCTTCAACAGCACACAAGGCAAGTTCAAGACACCCCTCGTCCAGTCGTGGGTCCAAGAGCTCAACACGCAGCGCGACGCCCGCAAGACGTCGACCGAGTAAACTTTTCACACGGACCTTCTGCTTCGAGTGCTAGCTATATCGTGTGTCTTCTACTGTTTCGTACGTGGCCTCGTCCGCACCGCGCTCAAGGTCGTCCTGTAAGTCGCAAAGCACTCCGGCATGTCATAGCATAAAGGGGCAGTTCAACGTTCAGCTCAATGGTTTTAAATTTTGGGGACGCAAACCCAATGCGATAGTTGGCAATAGAGAGCGGCCTCATAGCTGATCTATGAAATGCTGCATCAATATTCTATAAAACACGGTGCGTAACCTTGTCGAAGTCACGCCTCTCTGTACGCTAATGTCACCACTGGTGTGACTACATACATATACTTTTGTCCGAGTGCATCGTCTTGCCGAGATGCAGCAGTGGTTCTGACTTGTGGAGACGTAAACCCAATGCGATAGTTGTAATGCATAGTGTACATGCACAAAGTGTCCATCAACATACTTACGTTTTGAGTTAACATATGCTCGAGTTGTATTGAACACACTCTTCTCAAGACGTATTCGTACAATACTATTCCTTCGGCTTGCGCGCAACAAGGCTACTTGAAGGCTCTGTCGGTGCTGCAGCCGTCATCTCGTCCTTCCGGAAGGCCGTGACGACGTCGTGGACGACGTTCTTGACGAGCGGAAAGGGCAATGCGGCATACCGCGACCATGCATTGTGGTCGCGCCACTCGTCGCTCGGGAAGCACGGACTCGCCATGCCGTGGAGGATGCGTGTGATGCTCTGCGCCGAGAAGGCGCGCTGGTCGTGGTGCAGCAAGCTGTGCGTCGCCTGCTGAATCCCGGCAATTTGACCGGGCGTCAGCGGGGCAAAGGCCCACGGCTTGGCGACGGGTGCATCGTCGTCTCGGTCTTCAAAGTACGCTTCGATTGTCTCGTTGAGTGACGCCGTCGCGTCGTCGCTTTCGGAGGCCCGCAAAAGAGCGGCGTACAAGGCTTCGACGCGGACGACGTTGCGCTTCTCTTGGGCGACGTGGTGCGTGTACACGTCGCGCACAATCGACTCGATGTTGGGCACGCGCGAGGCGGATCGCTCGAGCCGCACGGCGTAGTCGCTCAATTGGTACTGCCCCACGCCGGTTTGCTGCAGCCGGCGGAGCTCCAACAAGACAATATCGTCGTTCGCGCGCAGCGGAAACGTTTGTGTGAGCTCGACGACGTTGAACGTGTAGATGGTTTTGGTAAGGTACCCTTCCTGCTCGGTCGCGGCGTCGGCGAGCGCTTCGACGCGGGTGAAAAGTACATGCGACTTCCATGGCTCGAAGTTGGAAATCGTGAGCGTGCACGTGGCGTGGAGCGACGGGAGGAGCTTGATGTGGCCTTGGAGCTCGAGCATCGTCAAGATCGTTTCAAGCACGCCTTCCTTCATGTCGAGCTCCATCTCGAGCCACTTGATGGGTAGCGTGAGCTCACAAAAGCCCGGACGAGTCGGAATCGCGCGGGTGTCGCCAAAGACCAAGTCCAGAAACCGACCCACTTGGCGAAGCGAGAGACCGTCCGAGTGCGCGAGGGCATGGAACCGGTTGAAATCGCTCGCCACAAGCAGCAGCGTGCAGTGGGCTGGCTTGCCGTCACGGCCCGCGCGGCCGACGTGCTGCACGTAGTGCTCCATGCTGCTCGGCATGTGGTAGTGGATCACGCCGCGCACATTGGGCTTGTCGATGCCCATGCCAAAGGCGATCGTGGCGACCACAACACGCAGCTTCCCGCTCAGAAACGTTGCGCGAACCTAGGTTGCAGTTGACATTGCACTCTTTTTCTACAAGGGGGTGCTCTGAAACACACCTTTTCTTTGACATCGGCCTCCAGGCCCGCATGGTACGCGCTGGTCTTGATGTGGGCTTGCGCACTCAAGTGGCCTGCGACCATCGCCGCCGCGTACTGCGTGTGGACATAGACGATGACGCTGCCCTTGTTGTACGGGGGTGCTGTCAAGAGCGCGCGGAGGTCGTCGAGGCGTGACGCATCCGTCGTCACAGCAACGTCTAGCGTCAGGTTGTCGCGGCCGATCCGGTCACGGCGGATGCCGTCGTCGCTGATGCTCAGGATGCGCGCAATGTCGGCCGTGACGCTCGTCGACGCCGTCGCGGTGAGCGCCAGCACCTGCGACGCTTTGGCGGCGAGCGGCCCCAAGCGCAGAAAGGACGGACGAAAGTTGTGCGACCACTCCGAGAGACAGTGCGCCTCGTCGACGCAGACGAGGCTGATCGAGAGCTTGGAGAGAAGCGCGTGGAAGCCGGCGGTGACGGCGCGCTCGGGCGATACAAACAGCAGCTTGATGTGGCCCGCATAGAGTGCACGGCAGAGCGAGGCTTGGTCGGCCTTGAACTTGGCCGACGAGAAGCTCGCGGCGCGTGCTTGAAGCGGCGGTGGCAGCTTCTCCATTTGGTCGTTGATGAGAGAAATGAGCGGCGAAATCACAAGCGTGAGGCCAGGTAGGAAGATCGACGGGAGCTGGTAGCAGAGCGACTTGCCGGCGCCCGTCGGCAAGATCAAAAGCGACGCCTTCTCGTGCCGATTAAGAACACGGTCGATCGCCCAGCGCTGGCCAGGCTTAAAGTCGGCGTGGCCGAACAGCACGCGTAGCGCGTCGAGCGGTGTGGCAAACTCGGGCATGGGCGGCAGCTCGGCTTCGGGGGCCGCGAGCGCGTGCGCGATCGCATCCGGGTGGTTTTGTTCCCAGAGAAAGAAGTCGCATCGCCCTTCGTCGAGCTTGCGCGTGCACGCAAAGAAGCCGCGCCCGTGGTTCGCCGTCTTCTTCTTTACGACGAGGCGGTGCGCGGGGAGTCCGTGGTAGCACAGAGGTGTCGACACCGCCTCTTCCAGCGTCACAAAGGTCGGCGGCGGCGGTGGCTGAGCGAGCACATCGAGGCATTCTTGGACGACGTCGACGCCGTCGTGCGTTGCCTTGCTCACGGGCGCTTCGTCGTGCTCGGCCTTGTCGTAGAGCGTGGCGCGCAGGTACAGCGGCCGCTTCTTCGGGTTGCCGCGACTGCCCTTGACCTTTTTCCGCATCGTGAGCCGCACAAAGTTGTCGCTGACGCTGTGGCTGCCGACGGCGGCTTGTCGCTGCTTGATGGCGTGCTTGCGCCACTCGGTTGTGTCGATTGCCGCCTCGCCGTCCTCCTCGCTCGGTACGTCGCTTGGAAGACGCGTCGTTGGCTTTGGCTTGGCCTTGGCCCGAGGTTTGGTCGCCTTCGGAACGATGTCGTCGTCTTCGCTACTGACGCGATCGTCGTCGCTCGGCGCCCGCGTTCTGTTTGCGGCGCGTGAGGACGCTTGGAGCTTGGACGACGCCGCTTGAGGCTTGAGCTTCGGTGCGGGCATCGCGACGGCCGCTTTGGCGCGTTTCGCCACGGGCTCAAACAGCGTCGGGTCAAATGCAGGCGCTTCGTCGTAAAAGCTATTGGGAGGAATCGCAGGCAGAGCTTCGCTGTCGTCCAAGAGCGATGACGGCGCCAACGCAACGGCGGCGTGTTCTGGGTTAGCGACGGGGGCATCGTCGACTGGAACGGGTGGCGGCGCCGTCGTGGGCTCGAGTTTTCGCTTCTTCTTCATCTCCTTCCGCTTCTCGTACATCTTGAGCACCCATGCGTCGTCCTCGACGGCTTTCTTCTTGGCGGCCTTGGTGGCGGGCACGGGCGCTGATCCGGCCGGCTGCCGCCGAGGCCACGCGGACGCTCCTGGTGGCGGCTTGGTCGTCGCAGTTGCCGGAGGTGTAGCGTCTTCCTTCTTGCGGCGTGGCCAGGCAGTTTGCGCATCGGCGCTGGGTGCAGTCGCTGCGGCGCCACGGCGTGGCCACGGCGTTGACATCCCCGCGAAAATCCAACCTGGCGTGCAAACCGTGAAACCGTTCGTGAGCCGTCGAGCAAGTCGGCTAACCGCTTAGCCGGCTCATCTGGAATCGGCTCCTTTGGAAGCGGTTGCGACTCAGAAGTGAGAAACGTGCGAAACTCGCTTCTGAAGAATTTGGACCGACATGTCGCAGTGTCGATTTCCCACACGTGAAAATTCAAGTGCAAGTTGGGTGCGCTCAGCACTGGCCGGGTTCCGACCGACAACGCGATGGCGCCGCGTACTATGCAACGATATCACAGATGGAGATGTCTAAATCCACCCAACTTTGAAAAAGCGCTGCGAATGGAGTCAGACAGCGTATCCAAGTGGCGATGGGCACCATGTGACGACGCAGCTCACACGCATGCCTGCGCTGAAGGAATTCCTCCTGCGCTG